GCTGGATGGTGCTGGGAGCTGGCCAGGCTGGAAGCAGATAACTGGTATTTATCGGTGCTGCGTGCCAAACCGTGCGTGGACAGGGGATGCCCGTGGCTGAGTAAAACTCGCTGTGCCTCTCCTGCTCCGAAAGCCCAGGTCGGCGTGGGCAGCGAGCACCGGCTGCGAGTCCGCTGCCGCAAGCGCGGCCCCAGCAGAGCGTGGGAGGCAGCGCAGGGGCTTCCTCCGAGCACCTCTCCTAAGCATGCTGGAAGGGGAGAGATGCCTTCAGTCGGCACAGCGGGGTCCGGATTTGGCCCTCAGATGTGTTTGAGTGATGCCCTGTTCAGAGAGGTGACACTGATTTCTGTGAGCGCAGCGCTGGGTGTTACAGGCAGAGTGAATTCCTCTTTCGCTGGCAATGCCCCAGACCCACTACCTTCGGCAGCACTAGGATCCGCGTTTCCCATGGAAAACTTGTTTCAGCTCCTCGTTTTTTCAAGCAGTGAAGGCGCATACCCCTGGTTTGGTAGATGTGTCAGGACTTTCTGTCATTTCTGTGAAAAGTAGGCAAGTACTTCTGTTTGCAGACCAGGAAGGGAAGCTGAGCCCCACTTCTGCATAGTCACTGTTGTAGGCAACAGTTTATTTTAAGGCGGGATGGAAAGAAAACACACCAAAAAGAAAAGAAAAAAGAGCGTTCCTCCTGCTAGCGCTGGAGTGCGACAGCCGGAGGCTCGGCGCTGCCGCCCGCATCTGCCGGGCAGCTGGTTTCATGGCTTTCCATTAGGTAACGTATGGGCAATTTTATGATGTGGTTTGCTTTTCACACACTAATTGGCTGTGTGGGACTTTTTATGGGGAATTTGGAAACTTGCTGTGAGAAGCTGGGATCCTGGGGTGTGACTTCTCGTTTTTTATTTTTAATTCTTAAAGCAAAAGTGCAGAGCCGGGCTTCTGGGAAGTGGCTTTCCTGCCTGTAATTACATTGGCCTCCGGTGTTCCAGCTTGCTCATTTTAGAGCTTTTATTGCATCTCCCAGGATTTTCCCCATCCGTGTCTGTGCCAGGTCAGCCCCAAAAGCACTTGAGGGAGAGATGTCGGGCTCCAGACATCCCACGGCCAGGAGCTGTTGCCATCAGAGCCACTGTGGACCCCCTGCCATGGGGGAATACCGTGGTGCAGTGACTGTGCAGGAAGTTAGTGGGGGTGGACGTGTCCTTTTTTTCCCACTTTTGTGTTGGTTTTCATCCTTTTTTTCCACTTTCACTAGCAAAACGAGAAACTCTCCTCTTTCTCCTTTTTTGCTTTCCGTCCCTCACCCTGGCGTGCTGGGAGGTGCTGGTGGGTCTGGGTTCCCCGTGTGTCTGGGCAGACACGCACCAGCAGTGCCCTCCATCCCCAGGTCCCTTTGCACAGCTGAGCTGGTGGAGCCACCCCCGCCAGACCTGCTCGGGGTGTTTCTGATGGACCACGGTGGCACTTGGGCCACGCTGTGTGCTCCTTGTTGGGTACAAGAGATGAGGAGAGTGGCTGTGGGTGACTTTTCCTCGGGAAATGCCATCCAGCCTCAGCAGCTGCCGGAGAAGGGCAGAGGCTTTGCCTGGAGGGGATTCTCTGGTGGCTCGTAAGGGCTGTGCACCATCAGGAGCTTTTTCCAGTAAGTGTGTTGGTGCTGGTTTCCCCCCCATGGGGACATCCAGGTATTTACCAAGGGCTCCTCTCACATGCAGAGCTTCCTCTGAAGTGGGAACTGTAACAGGGCCTCGCATCGAGCTGTCCAGATGCTTTCATGAATCTGGTTAGCAACTTTGTATGTGTGTATCTGCGCTCCGCTGGCAGATGTGGGCGAAGGTGGTTGGCAGGTTGGTGGTGGCACTGACAGCGTGAGTAATGCAGACACACGGACAGACGGGGCTTGTGTAAGTCTTCTTAGGAAACCCAGCTGATGAAAATACCAGGAACCCGCCAGTCCCTCTTCCCCTCCTGCAGACTTCTGTGAAGCCCATGTGGAAACGCTGCCGTCTTTTTGTGTCTTCATCTGCTCCTTGTTCCTTGGTTAGGACCTGCAAAAGTGGCTGACACACGACTCGTGCTGTTGCAGACCGGCTCTGCAGCAGCGTGCGCTCGTGCACGGGCTGTGTTTGGGCTCCTCTGAGGTTGGGTTTGGTGTGTGGTGGGAAAGCGACTTCATGGGATTTACCCTCTTGTTTCTTAGGGAAGCGTGGGCTCTGTGCACATTCATGTGCCTGTCTGCCGGTGTCTGTGTGCCTGCTCCTCCTGGAATACCATTCAAATGGGATCATTTCCGTCACATTTAAACTACAGATCGCAAAGATATTAAGTTGCTGCAAGCTCACAGAAATCATTCTCTGACCAGAGGATGCAAGGAGACCTTCTTCTCGGCCCTGCTGAGGGGTGGGTGTAGTGTGTGATGAGCCTTTATTAGACATCAGAGAATCCACACGTCTGGAGACACAGCCCTGTTGGAAACCCTTCTCCATCACTGCTGCTCACGACTTCTCTGCCCAGTGTGGTTCTGGCCGGCTTGAGGCAGCGGAGGGTCTCCAGGCAGCGTCCCCCAGGGGCTGGATTTCCAACAGAGGCTGCAGACAGCCCCTTTTGCCGTTGGGTGCGGAATTTGGGTCCCTCGTCACCTTGCCCTGGCAGTGAAGCTCCTGGGGAGGGCTGGGGACACGGCTTGCAATGGGTGACCCTGTGCACAGCGTCCGGCTGTGGCCCTGGTGCTGCCGCCGTGGCCGTGCCCCCCGCGGGCAGCTCACCACCCGCCGGCGTGTTCGGCAGCAGCGTCGGTCTGCCCGTCCTTTCCTGC